CCCCTTCTCAGCACGTCCTCCAACCCGAGCCTTCTGTGGGAGACAGATGGGGTGTCTGCGATGGAAAAGGCTCTGGGCTCTACGCCGCCTTGGGTGGGCATCCCCCCTCCCCATCTCTCTGCTACTCCCTCTCCCTACCTAAGGTACTCAGAGTCACCCTGGGCAGCTTTGGAAGCTACTGATGATTTCCAGATCTCTTCCCTTCTCAGACTCAGCCCCAGCAGCAGAGCCAGAATGGCATCTTTCTCTGAGACCTAGACCCCAGGCCCCGTTCTTGGAAAACCAGTGCAAAGGAGGAAGTAGGTTAAGAAATGGTAGGGTGCCATGTGAAGGGACTAATGTGGATAGGGAGGGGCCCAGAGTTCCTCACTGAGGACTGGATGGCAGGGGTTTGGGTTCTGAGTTGACAGTGGAGGCTGAGCCTAAGCAGCTCCTTTGTTCCAGAAATCTGGGGTCCCTGGAGGGAGGCTCAGCTTGGGGAGGGGGAAAGCATTACAAAGCACCAACTGCGAACCAGGCACGATGCCAGAGCCTTTCCATACCTGTATTCACAACTAGCAGGTGAGGAGTCAGGGTGAATAGGTGTCTTAAGAGCTCTCAGCATCTCTCAGTACAGTTGACCACCACCTCCTTTGATTCTATGATGTCACTGCCAATTCTCCTACTATGCTGGTTGCTCTTTCTCTGTCTCCTTTGCAAACTCATCCTCAACTCCTTAGACTCAGCCAAGTCCCCTGATTATACACATTCATGGTACTATACATCCTCCTTTCAGAGCACTTAGCACAGTTATTTCACACTTATTCATACAATCATTTGAATAATTATCCTATTTCCCCCACCAGATGGAAAGTTCCACAAGGATGGTGACCGAGTTTGTCTGTATTCACCAGTGTGCTCCCAGTGCCCAGTACTGTGCCTAACCTAAAGCAGCTCTTTGGTAAATATTTGTTGAATGAATGAAAAAATAACAGAAAGATATTTCTCTGACCTACACTTAGCTTCTTAGCCACCCCCTCACCCCAGAACTGACCCCTAATGTGTGGACCAGAGAACAGGATGCCTGGGAGGTCAGGCTGCCTCATTCCCTCTGGAAAAAACATCAGGACAGAACTAGTCTAAGTTCCAGGGTGGGGCCCCTGCCCCGCTAGAGCCTGGCCTTGCCAGTCTCCTCTTCCACTTCTTCAGGGATTGAGAGAATTCGAAGCACCAACAATTTCTTCTCATATTGGGGCCTGACATCACTCGTGAGCTGGAAGAGAAGAGTTCTATTGAAGAGGGGTGCCCTTTTCTGCCTTAGTCGAGACTGCAGAGACCATTGCCTGCCACCCCTCTATTTGCTTCTGTCCTCTTCCCCTGGACTTCAGGGAAGGGGATGGATTAACCAAGTGGGAGAGATAGATGGTTAGAGCAGGACAGGATGCTTATTCCTTGAAACATCTGTGGGGCTGGTGACTGAGCCTCAGCCTGGTGATTGGAGCAAAGGAATGAACACAGGATCCAGTAGCTTCAAGTCCTTTCAGTCTGTACTCTCTAGATCCTGGGGGGCAGGAGGTAGACAAATGACCTCTGGGAGGTGGCCAGCCTTCAGCCCAGGGCTTTTTCTGACCTCTTTGTTGCCCTTGCCATTTGACCTCAAATAATATTCCTGAGTCTGCAGGAAGTTAAAGTTAGGCCAGGCCCAGCAGCCCCTTGGTCTCTCTGGCTACTTCCCATTCTAGCCAAATTCCCAGACTTAAGCTTCTCTCCCACACAGCTCAGCACCAATACCCAATCCTCACGGTGGCCACTCACCCAATCCCCTTATTCTGACAGTTGTCCTCAGCACCCAGTTACCTGGGATCATAAATCTGGAAGCTATTCTAGGCAATTGCTCTTTCTGACCTCACCTGTTCTCTGGGCCCCTAATGAAGTAGGACAACTCAGGCTGTGGCCAAGTCCTTGTGTCTTCATCAAAGGCAACATCTGTCTCCTCCAAGAGGATAACCCTGGAGGCAAAGGTATGAGGCAGGCACAGGGGAGAAACCCCTATCTCGCCTGAGCCCTCACCCCAGATTCCAGTGCAGGCACAGACTGAGGGTGAGGGCCAAGACAGCCACAGAGGCCTGCACTCACACATACCCCTGCACAGGCCTTCGTGCCTCTGAGCCCCTGGTATGAGGGCCCCTCCTGGGCTCATCCAGTTACCTGGGCTGCTGCTGCCAGGCCGGCTTTCTTTTATTCATGCGTTGTTTTATTGCTGGCAAATGCTGCTGCTTGCCGCTGTTGGAGGCATTCCTGCCAAATCCATCCCAACATCTTGGCCTGGCATCAGGGCGGCATGCTAATGTGGAAATTTAAAGAGCCGCACGGCTTTAAATCGGAATTTTAAATGAGCAGCAGTGCTCTAGAGGGACCTAGGCAAAATCGAACAGTGTCTGATCTACCCTTACTACTCCCACTCCCATAGCATCACCCCACTTCTCCCCTTGACTTGAACACTAGATGAGGGAGGGCATGGGACACATTAGGGGAAGAGGGAGCTACAAGGGCAGAGGAATTGGTGGAAGATGGAGTCATCTAGGCCAGTAAAGACCTAGGATCCCTCCACTCAGGACTGGGAAGGGATCCACTGCTTGCTGTCTTGGGCAAATGGAGGTAGGGACCCCCTGTACAAGGAACATGGCTAGGGATGATGAAACTGACATCTCTACCCCATTTCCCATTTTACCAGGGAACAAGAAGAGAAAGCCCAGAGCAGAGAATAGGGAAGGTAGAATTCCATGAGGACACTCACGTGCAACATACATTTGTGCATTCTGGGCTATTTGCACACAGGTGTGCATGCAGGTCAAGTTGCTTGCTGAGGCCCCTAGTAGCATGTGTGCACACAGTTCACACATCACCCATGCTTGTGGAAGAACTGCTCACATATGCAGGGCAGTCTTCTCATATCCAGGCCACTGACCTAACCAGAGCAGGCTGGTTTCTTTAAGTTGGTACACTGAGCTGAACCCCAGATTTTTCCATGAATCCTAATGCACCAACATTCCCCAGCTCCTGGCAGCTACCTTGAGTCAACCATGGTGGTGACAGAGCCACACAGCAACTCTTCCAGGTTTGGGGTTGAGGGCACCTGAGCTTATCCTGGATCTTGGTTGCAGTGTGGTTCCTTCTCTGGTGACCATCAGATGACAGGCTCAGACATTTCACCTGGCTGAGGTGCTGGACATATTCTCCTTCAGAGGGAAGAGGGGGTAAATGGGAGGTGAGAAAGGCAGAATCCATGCCTCTCTGACCCCCTTTCCTCCTTACCTGTCTCCAGGAGATAAGTGGTCTTTCATTATCAGAAAACACATTTATCAGAAAACATTTATTGAGTGCTTACTTTGAAGGAGACACTGCGCTTAGTTTAGCACTGGATGTACTTGTCCCCATCGGGGGATTCACAATAACTTGCATGCTAACCTCAACCTTACCCATGTTAGGCTGCTAGGCCAAGGGATGCTCCCTGACCTTCCCTAGGATTCCTTCTCCCTCAAAGAAGGAGCCAGCTCCTCCACGGGCTGGTGTGGCTGCCAGCCAAGACTTGGGGCAGGCCTGGGGCATGCAGCTGGCACCTGCCCACCAGGTCTCCAAGGAGCACCCTCCTCCCCCACTCCATAGCCTTATTCAGATGGCCCCTGGGCTACAGGGAGACAGAGCTCAGCTCTTCCAGTTCCCAGAGAAAACCTTAAGCTGGAAAGCCTATCACTTCCCTTTCCACTGTAACCTGCTCTGAGGTCTGCGACCCAGACTAGATATACTAAAGACCTACCAGGCACTTTTTCCAGGCAGGACCAAATACTTACTACAGTAGGGGTTGGGCTGGGGTTAGGTAAGGGGTTTTGAGGGGTGAGGCCTGGGCTGCAGTTATGGGAGAAGTTGCTGAGGTCAAGAGATGGATGAGGAAGGACTCAATGGGAGTGAGATAGGATAGAGGGACATGAAGGGAAGGGGCTGAGTGAATCTGCCTCTCTCATCTAATTAGCAACATGCAAATAATATGTAAATCATCCTCTGTTTGTTTAGAGACCACAGGGCCTATGCTTTTTGGATGTGGGCTATAGAGGGACCAATAGGCAGAGTCTCTGAGACCCTTAGACATGGGACACCCAAGCTCAAGAGAGAGGCCAGAGTGGCCATATGGTTCTAGCTGATTAGATGGATTCACTTTCTGTGGTCCTCAGTTTATATGTGCATGAAATGGCAGGACTGGACTAGATGTGCTCTAAGGCCTCTGTCCAGTGCTCACCATCTAGGGTTCTCCGATTTGAGGCTCAGTGCCAGAACAGGGTGGAGGGGTTGATTTCACTATGGGGTGGAAACTGCTTGGCTCTCTTGCCCCTGCTACCCACCTCAGCAGTTCTTTCATGCCACAGCCCACATCCCTATGCCCCTGCCATCCCAAATACGGCCAGTTTCTGAAGGCATTGTGCTCTCCTACTTTGTACCTTTACTCACACTGTTTCCTCTTCTTGGAATTCCCTTCCTGCTTTAACCCCTTCTCCAACTCCAGCAGCCTTCCCTACCTTACCCATTAACCTTCTGTACACCCTGCACACTGTTTACTTCTCTCAGTTTCCACTAGACTGTGAATTCCTGGCAGGTACTGGATTTTGTTCAAGCAGAATCTCCAATTTGTATTACTGTATTTGTTTCCCAAGTCTACTGTAACAGATTGCCACAACTTTGGTGGCTTAAAACAACAGAAGTTTATTCTCTCACATTTCTGGAGTCTTATAGTTCAACATCAGGCTCACTGGGTCAGAATCAAGGTGTCAGAAGGACTGCGCTCTCTGGAGGCTCTAGTGGAGAATCTGTTCTTTCAGCTTCTAGCAGCTGCTGGCATTCCTTTGCTTGTGGCCACATCACTCCAATTTCTGCCTCTGTTTTCACATTGCTTTCTACTCTTCTGTGTGTGTATAATCTCCCTCTGCCTCTCTCTTATAAGGACACTTGTGGTGACATTTAGAGCCCACCCAGATGACCCAGGATAATTTCTTAGTCTCAAGATTCTTAATCACATCTGCAAAGACCCTTTTTCCAGATAAGGTAACTTTCACAGGTTCCAGGGGTTAGGATATGGACATATCTTTGGAAGCCATTATCAGACTACCAAAAGAAGCAAAGACACCTTTAAATATTTGTTAAGCACCTACCATGTGGCAGACTCCACACATATATTTCTTTCACTGTGCCTTAAGTCTTGCAATAACTTGAAAGGTAGATATTAATGCCTCTGCTCTACAGATATGTAAACTGAATGAGCCTCAGGGAGATTGGGTCACCTGCCCAAGCTCACAAAACTGGTAAGTGACAGAGTCAGAACTGGAAACCAGATGAGCTAAATTCCAAAGCCAGCCTAATTTCTTTTTAAATTAAGATATCATTGATATACAATCTTATGAAGATTTCATATGAGCAACATTGTGGTTTCAACATTCACCCATATTATGAAGTTCCCCCTCCACCCCATTGCAATCACTGTCCATCAGTGCAGTAAGATGCTACTGAGTCATTACTTGTCTTTTCCATGCTCTACTCCCCTCCCCATGATGTACCTATATTGTGAGTTAAAGTCAGCATAATTTTTACCTCACTGTTCTCTTAGCCTACCCCAGGCCCTGGCACAAATTTCTTACCTGAATGGATATACAGAAAGAAAAAGATAGGTGGACAAGAGAAGAGACAATGAGGCCTAGCCTTTCTCTGGGCTATCTCTTGCCAAGGCCCCCTTACTACCCATTTAATCCTCCCTCACCAACCCCTGACCCCTAATTTCAGAAGCCTAGAATTTCTCCCAGTTTGCAGTCCTCTGCCAACTACTGCTGCCCAGAAGTGTGTCACAGTGCCTGGACTTCAAGTAGGAGAGATAAAATCACAGAACCAGAGGGACCTCTGGAAGTCACCTCTTCTGGCCCTCTGCCCACATACAGGCCTGTCCATGAGGACAGGGCAGACAGGGTCAGGATAGCAGACAGTAGAAGTAGCAGCCACCTCTTCCTTAACCTATTCTTTCTCCTCACTTCTTACAGGGTATTCCATTTGTATTGGGAAGTCCTCACTCAGTCTAACCTTCCAGACATCATGCTATAATGAAAGCTGGCTAGAGTCAGAAATCCTGTGATCCAGTCCTAGATTGTCCAAAACATAACCCTTCACCTGTCTGGGCCTTTAATTCTTTATCTTTAAAGTGGGATTGATAATGATGCCTGTGATAATAATAATACCCATCTCACAGGGCTGGAGGAGGAAAATAACACAGTCCAGGAAAGAAGCAACTTAACCCACAGCCTAGAGCAAGGCAGGTGCTGCAAGAATATTTCCCTCCAGCTGAAGCACTTTCATTGTGGTTAACACAGCCAGTCTGGCCTGCCTTGCGGTCTTGGCAGGACCTCGTTTATTTTTTAATCACTGCCGGTTTTACTCCCAACTTGGGCACGTGGGCTCCATCTATCTTTGATAAACAAACGAGTGGGGTTATGATTCAGACTTCCAAGTCCCGAGAGGAGGCACAGAGCCTAACTCCTACGACTAACCCTTATGGGCACGACCCTTTCCCCGGGGGTCTAGGAGGCAGCGGCGATAAGGAAATGGGGTGCTGCAGCTTTAAGATTCCTCTTTGGCGTCCTGGTTGCTAAGGCGCGGTTGCCACGGGCCTACGACTAGCTGCGTCCGGTCTCCGCTCGCCGCTCGCGGCTCGCGCCTCCCGGCTTCCACCGCCGCCGCTGCCGCGCCGCGCCGCCGCCGCCGGGCCACCCTGGTCTCAGCTCCTTCGAACCGTCTGGCGGACTTGGCACCGGCCCCGCTTCCTCAGTGCCCCCGCGGTGCGTCGCAGGCTGCGGCTTCATTATCCTGATTGATTCCTCCTGCTCCCCGACACCGTGGGGGCCCCGGACAAGGAAGGGGGGTTGAGTCGGCATCTGCGGACCCGTTCCCCGGCCCTCGCCCCCAGCCGCTTCTCGGGCTGCCGGCCTCCCCTCCCCCCACCATCCCCGGTCAGGGCCGGGTGGGAAGGTGGCCAGGCCGTTGTCCCACCGGTGGGCAGGGAGAGCCCCCAAGGGGAGCGGAGCTGTGTCTGGCTGGGCTCCTGTGCTTCCGCCCAGGGTTTCGGCTCTAGGCCACAAACGCTGCCAGGCTCGGGGCTTGCCCTCAGCAAAGGTTTTGCGCCTTTTCCAAGATGTGGAGGGTTTGGGGTGGGGAAGGAATACAATGATGGCCTCAAAACTTAGGGAGAATATGACAAAATAGGACAGGTGACATTTTCAAGGGGCACTGGTCATGTGGGCCAAGGCTGCGTGGCATGTGTCTTATCACATGACTCCCTGGGCCCTTTAAGTACAGTTCTCACCTTAAGCAGGGACAAGGTCTGCCCAAACAGGACATGCCAAGAATCTGAGCTCAAAAGAAGACTAGGGACCTCTGTGAGTTAGAGAACCTGTCCCCAAATCTAGCAGAAGGTAGCTGGCAATAAAATCAAACACCTTTACCCAGTCAAGAAATCAAGTGCTGAGGTGAAGCCTCAGTAGGGGCCAGGCCTGAGACGGGAGGGTCTTCCTAGTTCTGCCACTTGTTTTGTGACCTGGTCAAGTCACTTAACCGTTCTTAGCCTCGCTATATTCATCTGTAAAATGGGGTGAAGACCTCCTTGACAGTTGTCAATGGCTAAATAGGGTTATATGTTGATGGCAGCACCCTATGTAAGTTCTCTGGCAAGAAGGAGAAAGGGAGATGAGGGGCTGGCTTCTGTCACTGCTGCTGTATTGAGTGAATCCTTCCTCTCTCCTTGAAGGAGTTAAATCTGCTCCCTATGCTTAAATCCTTTTTTAACCAAAAGATGACCTGGAACCCTGCAGCCAGTGCTGCTTCCTTGTGAAAGTAGAAAGGCAAAACTGCTTTCCACCTCATTGACATGGCATGGATTTAATTTCTAAATTCCTATCAGGCTGTCTACCACTCCCACCTCTTAGTGAGGCCTCTCTTCCTCACAGTCTCCCCGTAAAGCCTGAGTCCTGTCCTGTCCAGACCAGACCTTGGAAATTTCTTATATAAGCTTAGCCCTTTTGGTTAACTCTATACTTTAGCTCCCCTTAGTCTCGGTGAAGAGGGAGCTAGTGGAGAAGTGGAGGCCACTTTTTTCAGAGCTGTGGCAATCATGTTTGTGAACATGATCTGGGGCACTTTGGCAACTCAGTGTCTCTCTCTGGATCTCTTTCCTCATCTATGAGTTCATTAGTTTATTCTTCCAACCAGTATTTTCTGGGTAACCATGCTGGGTCAGCATGGTGCACCGAACAGGTGGGAGTGGGAATAATACTATGTGGAAAGAACTCCAGTCTGAAGCAGCTCATCCTCTGGGGGAAAATACAGACATACATGTCAGTGTCTCCAAAATAAGGGTATTTGCTTCAGGAGGACCTCCCAGATTCCAGAATATTCCACAGTGTCATGATGCTTTCTCCCTCCTTCCTGAACACAGCAGACTCTTGCCCTGTACTCTTCAGCCAGAGGCTAATCATTTTCTTATGGGAAAAGACAGATTTTAAAATTTGAGTCTGGAGATTTAGTTCATTCCTTTTTGTTGGAATTGTCTATTCTTATAACAACCATACATTACTTTTATATTCAAGGTAAAAACACACAAACATGGCCAGCTTGGGGAAAAAAGGTGTTGGGAGGATTTTTTTCCTCTCTGGCAACAAGAGGCAGATCAGTATGTACTGTATCTAAGTATGCCAGGCTGCCCAGGGCCCTTGATTAATGTGGCCCTGTGAGAGGCTGCTTCAGTCTACCCACTGGCCTGACTGCTCACCCACTCCTGTCTGGCCTCTCCATCCTCAGCACCTGTAGGCCTGGGCTCCACTTCCTATTAATACAAACCACGTGGAACTCTTGCTGTCGTGTCTCTAGGCAAAAAAGGGAGCCACAGCCGCCTAGTGGCTGCCAGGGAGGCTGGCAGGAAGGGGCATCTCCACCATGCATCTCCTGGGAAACAGCAAACTCCCCAGAGAAGGGACATTTGGAAATAAAATTCCTGTGCTATGTGTTTGTGTGTGTGTGCTGGGGCAGGAGAGGGAGCTAAGAAACCTCCCCAGCCTCCTCTGTTCTCTCTTCAGGGAAAGCCTCTTTCAGCAGCTCTCCTCCCAACCTCCCTGAAGTCCAGCCCACTCCCCAGAAGCAGTGTAGGCTCTGCTGGGACTGAACACGTGGCCCAGAAAATGTTCCTTCAAATTCACAATGCTGGTAGAGAAGAGCACTGAATGAAGAGCCAGAGGCCCATATCCTCCGCTGCTCTGCCTCACCCTGTGGCCCAGGTCAGTTATACCCACTTTCTGCATCCTAAGTTTCACCTCTGTAAAATGAGGGCGCTGGGTGAAATTTCCCCATCACTCTTAGTCCCCATATTGGGACTCCTTCACAAGGCCAAAGAATACAGTCTGGCCATTCCAGGCCATTCTTTCCTATACTGGAGCAGATACCTGATAGGAGTTAAATTCCTCGTGTGAATTTGGTCACTTAAACCAGCCTGGACCCTTCACTTGCACATGCATTTATTCAAGTGTTTGTAGGTGCTTATTGAAAATGAAGTCTACATGCAGGAGTCTAGAGAACACCCAGATTTCCATGAAAGAGGCACCTCAGCACCCCATGCTGTCGTGCACCAGAAGTCAGCTGCATGACACATTCTGTCATAATGATCCCCTTAATGTGGAGCTTGAGGAGCCCAGAACCTCTTCCCGTAGAGCCCAAAGGCAAGCTAAGGGAGAAGCCATAGTGCCTCCTGGGGAATAGAGGTGGGGGTAATATCCCTGGGCCCTCTCCTCTCTCACACCCATCAGTTCCCTTTGCCCTCCCTTGCTCTGAGAAACCAATCCCCCACTCTCAGCCCAACCACCCCTTCCTGGTAGAATATGGGACCCTCAAACTGGAGACAGGAGCTTGCGGAGAGGTTAGAGATGTCTAAGTAAAAGCAAATGGCTGTCTGCCAGCTGGAGTGCCATTCTTCCCAGCCTCACCTCCTAGAGCTCCCCTTCCTCAAGAGACACCATCTCCTGGGCAGGATAGGCATTGCTGAGAGAGCTCACCAGTCCACGGACAGCCCCCACAACTTTCGCTGGAGACAGGAACTCCAGGAAGGAAGGATCACAGGCCCTGCAGACCGTGGGGCCCAGGCCGCCTCCTGGTGTCCTCTTAGAAGGACATACTGACTGGCCCTCATGGCCTGCCCTGACCTTGTGGCTTCTCAGCCCTAGGTCCTCCCTTGGGGAAGGAGTGGGAGGTAGGCATGAAGAAGGGGATGGGTGGGAAGGGAGGTGGGAAAACAGCAGGAGAGGGGAGGGGGCATGTTGCCTTAATTGGGCTAGGCAATGGGCTCTGTCCCAATTTTACCTGGATTATCTCATCCAGTCCTCACCCTAGCCCTCTGCCTGGGTTATTATGCTGCTTTGATAGACAAGGAAACTGAGACTCAGAGGCATTATGTAACATGCCCAAGGTCACAGCTTGTCAGGAGTGAAGCCAGGATCCAAGCCCAGGACTGTTGCCTCCAGTGGGCTCTCCCTGCTGCCAGAAAGTCCTCCTTCTAGGAAAGGAGATCTGGGCTTGGGGTTTTTAGGCAGAGCTCATCAGGATCCCCAGAGGCAAATCTATTGTCATCTGCCCTCCTCCTCCTCACCCATCTGCCAGGCAAGTCGCAGGTGAGCCCCCTGCCACAGCCCCTGCCCCAGCCCCAGGTGCTAGCTCAGCTTTGCCTGGCTCCCCGCCTCTCCCTGGTGCCCCCAAGGTGGCTTTGAGGTCACCCCACACCCTAATGCTTTCCATTCTGCATTTCCAGATCTCAGAATACATAGGAAAAAGCAGGAAGAGAGAAGAGGTCACTTGAAGGTTGGAAGTAGGGGCTCCAGTCTCAGGCAGAAGACTGGGGGGCTTGGTTCTCTCCTTTGATTCAAATGAATCTTTTCCCTGCTCCCACCTCTCACCCCCAGAGACAGCCAGAGCTTTGCTTAGTTAATGAAATACAAAAGAAGGAACAGGGCGGGGGTGGGGGTGTGGAGGGAGGCTCCAGAGCACTCAGAGGAAGGGAGAGGAAAAGTTGGGTCTCTTCCAAAGAGTTAATGTTCCACAGTATGATCGATTAGGTGTCAGATGTAATTTCAAACCAATACAAGATGAATGGCATAATTTTCCCTCTCTCATTTTAGACAGAATTAAGAATCCATTAGCTAACACAAATTTTTGGCAAGTTTAATAGGAGCTCAAAACTACATTCAGAGGAAACACTCCCCAAAGCCTATTTCAAGCTTTTACTCCTCAGGCCCATGGCCTCCACGGTCCTCCTGACCCTCACAAGCCCTCTGTTGTCTGTCCTCCCCCAGGTAGCCCCCTCACCCTTCCCCTGGTCCCTGTATGTGCCCCTCCTCAGCCCAGCCAGAGATTAACTGGCTTGACCCCTCTCACAAAGGCCTGGCCTGCCCACCATTGTCTTCCAGTGGCACTGGTTCTGGGGGAAGGGGCGGAGGGGCTGGCAGTGAGCCCAGGAAGAGGGGAGCCTGCTGAATTGGCCCCAGGCTCCAGACAAACCCAAGGGAGACGGGTGAATTGGGACTTTGGAGCCATTTGAATCTCAACTACTACTCAATTTCACCCCCAGAAAAGTTCTGGTTTTTATCCTAGAGAAAGCGTTACCCAGTTCATAAGGGGTCAAATCCCATTCTTACTTTTACATTTACATATATTAATCCATACAGTAAACTAGAGAGATGGGAAGAATAGCTATCATCCCATTTTTTAGATGAGGAAACTGAGGCTCAGGGGGGTTGATTAGAATCAGCTGGGTCCAAGGGTAGACCATGGCTCTGCTACTTGTTAACTTACTAGGCATAAGGCATTACCTCTGGACCTCAATTTCCTTATCTGTAAAATGGGGAAAATGTTAGTATCAAGCTCATAAGATTATTCTAAGGGACAAATGAGAAGTGCCTGATAAAGGAGAGTCCATTCAGGCAGAGGTACCAAGCAGCCACTCTGTGGCCTTGTAAATCAGCTCCAGCCCCTACCCTCTGAGCTCACAGCCTGGTTGGAATTGACAAACATGTAGACGGAGCCCTGCCCTGAAAGGCAAGAGAGGCTGGAATAATAATTATAGCAGCTTACCTTACTGGGCACTTGCTCTCTGCCCAGTGTGGGAGCAAATTCTTTCATACAGTAGCTCATTTACTCCTCCTCCCTTATCAGATATATACTATTATTATAGTATTATCCCACTTTCCAGATCAGGAAACAAGCACAGACAGGGGAAGTAACTTGTCTGAGGTCACCCAGCTAGAAAGTGGCAGAGCTAGAATTCCAACCCAGGCAACCGTGGTCCTAAGGTTAAACTCTTAGGTTCATTAGCTCTCAGCCCAATGATAAGCAGAGGTACAAGCTGGGACAGTGGAGCTCCAGGATGTGACTGACTCTGTTCAGGGGTCTGGGAAGGCTTCACAGAGAAGAGGTTTACATTAGGTCTTAACTGATGAGTAGAAGTTTACCAGATGGGTAAGGAGAGAAAGAGCATCCTAGGCAGGAGAATAGTACAAAGTCACCAAAAGAAGTCTTAGCATGGGAGACGGTGAGTACTACCCCATGCTCTGCGACCAAAACAGGGTTCATGTGGAGGATGGCAGGAAACAAGTTTGGATGAGGAGGCCAAGGGTTCAGCCCAACAACTGTGCTCTAAAAATTGGGAAGGCTGTCCTGTTGTCTAACTCCTATAGACAGCCTTGCAATGCCATGCTCAGAAATTAAGATTTTTTCATGTTGTCATAATAATAGGTAGAGCTAGCATCTTACATGTGCTAAATGCTTCATATTGATTGCCTTGTTTCTTCATTGCAATAACCACACAAAGCAGGTACTATTGTCCTATTTTTCAGATAAATAAACTGAGGCTCAGGGATATTAAGTACCTTGCCTAAGAGACACAACTAGAAAGTAACAGAGATGAGCATCCAACCCAGGTCTGACTCCAGAGCCCAAATTCTTTCTATGCTTGCTATATCCTAGTAGGCACTGTGGAACTTTGGAAGAATTTTATGCAGGCAGTGATGGGCTTGGACTGAGTTTAAGGAAAAGAATTTTGGCAGAGTGTGGAGGTCGGACTGGAGCAGAGTAAGCCTGGAGGCAGGGAAGCCGGTAAAGAAACCACTGCTGTGGTCCAGATGAAAGTTCCATATGGAGACCGATGGGGGAAAGGCCCTCACTCATATATAGGGATGAAAGATAGGGACTCCTAGAGCCTGAGTAATAATAATTATGAAGATATTATCAAGTGCCTACCCCATACTTCATCGCATGAGCCATTTCCAATTCATACAATGCTATGGGGCAGATATTGTTAGCCCCTTTTACAGAAGAGAAAGCTGAGGCTTAGAGAGGTTGATTAACTTCTCTGAAACACACAACTGGGGTCTGCAGAGCTGTAACTTGCCAGAAGCCCTAGCGTTCCCTCCCACCTCATTTCCAGAGATGGCTGGCCACCTATCAGAGGTCAGAGGTCTTCCCTCTTGACATGGCTTAATATTCCCTGCGATACATAGGGTCCTGGCCCCTATGGAGAATGTCAGTGAAAGTATGTCAAATAAGAGATCAAGCCTGCCCCAGATGCTCCTGCCTTTGCCTCCCTTAGGGCTGGGTGAGTGACCTTGAGATGAGAGAAGTGAAAAAGGGGATGAGGTGGAGGGAGGGGAAGAGAGTGGAGAGGGTTAAGCTCTGGAGCTGTGAGGGGAGAACCAGTGAAACTTGAATTTTCATCCTGATTAGCCACTGTTGTTTATCTGCAAAATGGGATAATAATATCTACTCCCCAAGATGATTGTAAAGATTAAATAAAATAATGTGTATAAACCTGCACTGTCCAGTTGGAAGCCTCTAGCCACATATTGCTATTTCAATTTAAATTAATGAACATTAAATAAAGTTTAAAAATTCATTTATTCAGCCACACTTAGCCATATTTCAAATGCTTAATAACCGCATATTGGCTAGTGACTACCATATTGAACAGAACAGAAATAGAACATTTCCATCATGGCAGAACGTTGTCTAAAGCACTGGACCCAGGGCCTGGCCCATGTTGTGTGCACAGTCAGTGGATGCCATTCTTGGAGGACTCAGGTGGTGAGACTGATTATTCTTCCAACAGCCTGCCAAAGACCATCCATCTGACATTCTCCAGGGTTGAATCTGAAAACTAAGAGTTGGGAAGAGTCAGGGCCAGGTCAGGCACAAGGATAGAAGGAAGAGAGACAAGTCTACAGGCTAAGAAGTTCGTTTAAGGATTGCCCAGGAGGTGGAGGTGAGTGGAATGTGTATCTGGGGCAGGAAAGAAAAGAAAACCAAGAGAAAAAGGGGAGAAGAGAGGGAAATCCAGGCACCTATGAGCTGGAACCCACAATGGGTCTTCATTGCCTGCCCCAAGAGAATGGATGCTAATTTTAAGATACTTGCTCTCAATACCTTTATTTCCAAGTTCATTCATTCATTTATTCATGCAACATTTGTTTATTGAGCAACTATGTACCTGGTCCTGCCTAGGTGCTGGGAGTGCTACTATGAAGTCCCCACCCACAGGGAGCTTCTGTATGCATGTAGGGTGAGGAAACAAGACAATGAACATAATAAATGTTTAATATACATAGTATATTAGATGATGATATGTACTAAAGAGAAAAATTCAGTAAGGAGAGGGAAAGGAGGTACAGTTTTGGATGGGGTAGCCAGGAAACACTTCTTAGAGAAAGTGATGTTTTATTTTGGTTGCCCAGAGGCTGAGGGGTTTGGGGGAAAATGAGTGAATGCTAATGGGCTTGGGGTGGTCAAAATGTTATTTTGGGGGTGGTGAAAATGTTAAAAATGGATTGTCGTGATGGTCACACAACTCTTACGAATATACTAAGAAACATTGAATTGTATACTTTAAATAAATGAATTATAACTTAATAAAGCTGTTATTTAAAAAAAAAATCTCTTTGGCTGCTGCACCAAAAACAGACTGAAGGCACCATGGGCAGAAGCTATGGTCATCCCGAAGAGAGGATGGCTTGGACTAAGGGGGTCGCAGTGGGGTGATGAGAAGTGCCCAGATTCTGGATTTATTTTGAAGGCAGAGCAGACATATTTGCTTACTTACTTATTTAATTAATTTATTTATTTTAGATTCACTTTTAAATCAGGTGTGGGATGTAAAAGAGCATTGTCAAGGATGACTCCAGAGTTTTGGGATCAGGAAACCAGAAGAGATGAGGAAGTGGAATCCTTGAAACGAGAGGGACTAGCCTGAGGGCACCGATCACCAAGGGCAGCACCAGGACTCTGAATGGAGACCATATTATCGATTAGGTTCTAAGGCCCTTTTAATTTGATTTTTAACCCTGCCATATTGCAGAACTTCTCTAGCATCCGTTCTCTCAGCCAGCCTTCTGAGAGCTGCAAAGACTGATTGGGACAGACCTGACTCATTTAAGGTGCTGGGAGAACATTTGTTCTGCCTCTTTCCCCTTCTTTCTTGACCTTCCCTGAGACAGCTCAGAGCTGGGAGCCCAGAATAGAATGAGGAGGGGAAATATTGCAGACCTTAGGCCCCAGAGGGAGTGCTGGCCTGGGGTCTGGGCATTGCTCTCAGCTGTCTGATTCCTGCAGTGGGGAGAGAAGAAGGGAAACATACTCATCTCCCTGAGCCTGAACCGTGGGCAGCCTGAATCCTGTGCCTCCATTTTCTCTGGGGGCAGGAGAGCTGGAGCCTACATATCTGAGTTTGGCAGAGGATGATCTCTGAGCCACTTCTCCCCAAGCCAATGGGAGATCCTAGGAAGCCTTTAATTACCGCCTCAGAGTGGATGCTAGGTTAATGTGATGATTCGAAAGGTGTGTGTTTCAATTACACTTAACAAAAAGATTTATAGTCAAGTAAAATATAATTAGGATGCTGCCAGCAGACAAGCCTCCAGAGAAGAAGAAAGAGAGATGAGACAGACCCCTAATGGGGCAGGTTGCCCAGGCTACAGGACCTGCTCACGCTCCCTACCCACCTTCAAGGATGTCAAAGCATCAATGATGCCATTCAAACACATTGACTAAGAACCGACTCCATCCTGGGCTCAGAGTTTTCTATGGGAGTGGAACAAAAACTATATGGTCTCTGCCCTCAGAGAGCCTACAGACCAACCGGAGAGGCAGGCAAATAACAAGTCAACAGTTCAGTAAAATGCTGCAAAGGAAATAACAGAAGGCTGAACCAGAGAATAACCGAGGACTTGCTTTGGATAAATACATCAGAAAAGGTTTCTTGGGGTGGGGTAGGGGTGGACAGACTGAGGCATGAAAGATGAAATGGACCCAGCCAAGAAAAGAGTGGGAGGGAGGTGGGGGGAGTGGTTGGGCCAAGAAGGCAGCCCAGTTCCTAGCATGGGAAGATTATCTTAGTTTTTGCAGAGTAGAAAGAGAGGCAGAGGCAGAAGATGACCCCTAAGAGGGAGACAGGGATCAGATCCAACTGGTAAGGACTTTGGATTTTATTCTGTGTGCTGTGGAAGCCACTGGAGAGTTTTAAGCCAGAGAGTGAAGGCCCAGCTTGTGTTTTTAAAAGATTACTTACTTGCTGTGGGAGAATAGATCAAAACAGAGACCCAGGAGAGAGGGGATGTGACCTGGATTAAGGAGCATCATTGAGGAAGGAGAGATGAGGCTGAACTTGAGGCATATATTAGAGCAAGGATCAGTGGGTTCTTGGTGAGAAACTATACAGAGAGTGAGGTTGGGAGAACTCAAGGATGACCCCCATGTTTCTGGCTTGAGCAACTAACTGGATGCTGCCATTTTATTGAAATCAGGAAGCCCAGATAAGAAATAGGTGGAAAGACATGTAGACAAGGAGTTCTGACTAAGAATGGAGACCCTTTAAGGGCTTCCCTGGCCTTATAGAGTGGAAGTTCAGATGCTGCACCCCAAGGGGGGGTCCCCTGTCACCATCTTACTCTGTTGCTTCCCAGCTTGTCTGTCAACTTTTTTGCACATCTAACTTTCATTCCTCCTGCTGCACCTGGGAGTCATTGGAGAGAGAATTCTGTTATTCTCATCTCTCTTTGCCTAAATTCCTGAAATTCTACCATTAAATTCATACTACACTCATATACATTGAGTGCCCACTATGGGTGGGTTCAGACACTGCTGGAAGTTTGGCTACATTATTTCATCTAATCCTGCTAACCACTTTTTCCATAGTATTAATATAACAATAATAACAGTGGCTACTCAATGACAACTATCTTAAGCTAAACCCTGTGCATGAATTGTCCTATCTAAATCTCCTGAGAAACAACCTATCCAGGAACACACAGCCAGTTAGTATTGAAATTGGGATGAGAAATCCCAGTTTGTTTCCAGTACACCGGACTCTGGGGGGTTATGAGAACTGTGGGTGATGGAAGGGAGGAGTCATTTGGAGGACTTTCTCCTGCCCCTCATGCTTTCTTTTCCAGATGAAGCACAGAGGCGGCATTATTCTCTCAGACTTCCCTGGATGCAGAGGGCAGGCACCCTGGATGGCAAGCCCAGGACCTGCTCTCTGCTGGGGAAATCTGCCTGTTCATTGTCACTGGAGCTACCAGACACTTAGAGTGGTTGCTGGTATCATAGAACAGAGATGCCCACCCATGTAATAATGAGAGGTCCTGCTCTGTGTCACAAAGAGGTTATTCTACCACACTCATCCTCTGAGAATAGCTATAGGTGTTTGTTTAAACAAGTATGTATCAAATATGTATATTTGTTCAGGAACTGGTGTGCAGAGGGCCAGGTGATTTGCACACGTGTGCAAGCCAAAACAGGCCTGTCTCCTGTGCATTTCCCTCTGGATGTGTATCTGTGAGGTGATGGTTATCTGGTTGTCTGGGCCCTCACAAAGGCAAGTACCTTTCTTCATTCATGTGCCAGTGGATAGAGTTCACACAGGATAAAAGGGTCTGGCCCCAGAGTTGAGTTCTGAGCTCAGCTCCCCATCTCTTCTTGCCTGTCTCCAGCTCCCTGCTTCCCCCCTACCTCCCCTCACGCTGGGCAGAATGCCCTCAGCCTGTGCCGGCTGGCACACATGCCACATGGTGCCTGGCGCACGTCTGGGCAAGGATGACGCCCCCAGGCCCGGCTGGGATACCAAGCCACCCGCTGCCTCCCCCACCTCCAGAACGGAGCGTCCCCTTTCTCAGCCAGGGACAAGGGGAGCAGGCGGGGACACAGCACAGACAGATAAAAACACACAGATGCACCCGGAGACACCCACAGGCATGTGCCCTAGAGAGACACAGACAGAGGCGTTCAGATACGCCTGGGTACACTCACACACACACACGCACGCACGCACGCACGCACACACACACACGCCCAAAGAAATTCGTGGGCAGTCACCACTTTCACAGATCCCAGCAAAAGTAAACCTGTCCGGTTCCTGCCCTGCCAGCTATGAAAACGCATCTGGTGTCTCTGTCCGCGGTACTGAAGCCAAACCCTCCTTTTTACAGAAGGATGAGATAGGGAAGAGACAGGAGGAGGGGAGACCTGGGATGGGTGGTGGACAAAAAAGAAGGAATGGAGAAGTGAGAAGAGAAGGGAGGGAGAAAGTCACAGATAAAGGAGAGAGAAGGTTGAGAGGATACCAGAGGAACCAAGTAACATCCAAACTCCAGGACTAGAAGAGGAAGGTGATGAAAGGTGATTCAGCCCCCCTTTCTGCCAAAGTTCAGGCTCAGGCTCAGGCTCAAGGACTTACCAATCTTTGCCCTTCAGGGCCAAGAATAGGAAGAGTTTGGAAGGGTCTGATGGCAGGTGAAGGACCCTGGACACACCTCCGGTGTCCCTTTCTGGGTGCAGCGTTACCCTGGAGGACCTTCAAATAATAGGGAAAGAAGACAGACACCACAAAATCCCTATAATGACCCTGCAAATAGCTCCCCACCTGATTCCTTATCCCAGTTTGCGTTGGGCAAGTGGACAGCAATGATGATCTGGATTTGTTCTGGGGATTGCAGGGATTTAATGACTGCTTAATGTTTATCCACAAGATTGGATTATCTGTTCCTATCTTCCTCTTGAGATAAGATTTTCCTCTGGTGGAAATCGCCTAGTAGGGATGGCTCTCCCCCAGCAGCCCCCTTGTTGTGAAATCTATGGGATATGAAGTAGCCTGCTTTCCTGGGGTGGTGGAGGGGGTGTACGATTTTCACAGACCAAAGGACTGATCACATAACTAGGCAACAGAGGATAAGGAGAGAAAAAATAGGAAAGAGGAGAACAAGGTTCTTGAGAAGGTTCATGAAAGGATGAAAAGAAAGAAGGGAAGAGGAAAGAGAGTAAAGGGGGAAGATTGGGATGCAGAGGTCAGAAGTGAGAGAGGGCATGAGTGACCCAGACAGATTCTGGTGTCCAGGGAAAGGGCAGGGGAAGTATGCCAGGAGAAGCAAATTGCTCCCCCCTGAGCTTTTCAGCGGCCCAGATTAGACTGGAAGTCCAACTTGGTCCTGCAGCTGTTCACAGTGGCATTCTTCACCCAGAACTTTGGGCAGAGAGAACTCATGGGCCAAGATTAGGGATGTGAGGAGCAACTGCCCTAGAAAAGAAGGTGGGGTCAGATGCAATCAAGTCAGAGTGTGTGGTCTCCTCATGGGTGGAACTGGGAGAGTCAGTGCCTTCTTGGGGATGTTCCCACCTGTTTGCATGTGTATACTGGCAGGAAGAGAAAGCCATGTGTGGGTGTTCACTAGAAAGTGGGCTGACTGAGGGTGAGGAGCAGGCAGAGAAAGAAGAAAGGCAGGAGAGGAGTAAGTGAAAAAGAAAGGATAACGGTCCTAAAAACAATGTGGACCTCTTAATTATTCCCTTTTGCTTCCTGTTGAGAAGAACCTAGGCCTAGAATATAAATTGGGTATATGTTCCCCATGTCCTTGTCTGCA